GTCCTTATGAAAATATGAAAAATCCTCTTTCTATATTTATTATATAGAAATCAGGGCTCATATCTTAAGGAAACCCTCCCATTCTCAATTTTATTTTTTCAAGATTTACAATGGGCTGGTAAATAAATACCAATGCTTGTTAAGGTATGTATTTTTGATGGCGGGCATGATAACTCCTCACTGGAACATCGGAATCCGAAAATTCCAACGGTGTTAGAAAGAGTACTTGTCTGGCTCTCGTATGAACTAGGATTATTGACATCGCTCTAAAATTCACAAAATGGTGGACCTTTGAACAAATATTTTTGAAAAATCACCGAATCACAAACCCAGTTAAAAATAAGGAAGATCTTCACCGATTGGCTTTATTCTAGTTCATACGAGAGCTATACACTCCCAGAGAAACGTGCCAAATTTTTGAATCGATTGGATTATTAGTTTTGGAGTTATCGTGCCCGTCATTCGTTGAAAAAAGATTCGAGATAAATGCGTTTAAAGTTTGAGATCAACTCTTGCCGTCACTTGATGCTGACACAATAAATCGTTGATATCTTGAAGAGTTCTTGAGATTTTCACTTGGAATTTTGTGGGGACATTCTAGTATTGTGTAGATTCGAAAAAAAATGTTGACACCGAGAATGGGGGGTCCCCTTAATAAGCTTTAATACTTTTAAAATCAATGATTTTAGTCCTGAGAGACTCGGTAATAAATTCTTCAAAAATTCACGCATATAGTCCCCTAAAAAATCAAGCAGAAATCGAATAATGTTTTCAATTGAAACTTCAAGTCAACATTGCTAATTACCTTTTCTCATTTAGCAATTATTGCGGAAGCTTTGCCGAAAATTGTTTACTCCAATAAATCTAAATACGTGATAAAGATGAAGTCATACTCTCCGGTCATTATGATGACCACTAATTACCCTATAAAAATGAAATAGGAATGTATATTGATGATACGCTTGCTTGATCCTCTCTATGATATGACTCTACTAAAATGTTGCCTTACTAACATTTTGTAGCTACAAAATGGCAAAATGTGTTTGGACTTTAAGTCATCAAAACCCCAATCTTAATATGCAAAAACAATTTTAAATATTTTTAAATAAAATAAATTTTGATATTCGAAAAAAAGTATTTCATTGTTCTAGGTAGAATTATGTATGTCGGTGTGTATTATAGCAAATATAATTCTTATTATTACTATTTTTTTTCATCTCTTTCAACATTTCATAATATAATTTTTTAAGCATGAAATCATTAAGCAACATTTTTGTTGTTTTTTTCTCTAATACATATTTCCAGAATTTATTTGTAGTAAACCAAACAACAAAGAGTTCTAAGACTCGGCGAACATCTGCTGTCATAGCCGGAATACTCAACCACCAACCAAAATTGTGGAGGATTTAAGCTTCGCTTGTAATTGATCGCAGATATAATTTAATGACCATTGCTCCGCTGCTAAGCCAAAGAACAGAACTCATTGAAGTTGACTTGAAGATATGGCGTACCCAACATTCGACTTTTAATTGTGGATGGATGGTGGTGCGAATTTGTTTTTGGCTGGCGTTTCTTAAACTAATGAGCCGCTTTTAATTATTTGATATCCCAAGGTCATATTGCCAATGTAGTGGGACGAATGGTTTGGTTGTCGTTGTTGTTGTTTTTGTTTTCACTGGCACATGACAAGTAATATATGAAGTGAAATAGAACTTGTTGTAAATTGAATGGAACCACCAAGACCTTCCGTTAAAAATATGAAAAGCTATAATTATTATAATAATGTGAAGAAACTACAAACGTGTTCGAAAAAATATTCGTTAAGAATTCACGTGGGTGGCGTAGGGGATGATAGATAACAAACAACGGCTCTGACTGGCTATAACATGGCGAAGTCCAGGCTTATCTTGGTCCCTCTTTCATCTCAATTGCGGACACTGCCCTCCCCGCGGTGCCACCTGGGAAGATATTCTCATCACCCGATGAAATAGTGAGCTAATATGTGCCGCGTGTTTACCCATAAGAACTATAAAAAATGGTTGGGCCTACTATGAAAAAGCTAAGAAAAAGAAAACCAAACCCCCCTAATGTTGACGAGCCCTGCAAACGTATAGAGGACCACGATCTGCGAATATGTACTTGGAATGTGCGCACGTTGTACAGAACAGGCACAGTGTTCGCTTTGGCGGATGCACTCAAGAAGTACAAAGCCGATATTATTGCCTTACAGGAAATGCGATGGAAAGGGACAGTCCTAAGTAAATCAGACGATTACGCCCTGTATTATAGCTGTCATGAAACGAGACATGAATTTGGCTGCGGATTTATGGTTAACAGGAGAATAAAAGACCTTGTCTCCAGATTCACTCCAGTAGATGAGCGAATTGCCATAATCCGCATAAAAGCGAAATTCTTTTACATCAGTCTCATTTGCGCCCATGCTCCGACCGAAGATAAAGGTGAACAGACCAAAGACATATTTTACAGCATATGACCGTTGCCCTGGCCATAACATTAATATTCTACTAGGAGATTTTAATGCAAAAAATCGGAAGGGAAAACATCTTTGGCCCCACCGTCGGAAAATTCAGCCTTCATGAAGAAAAATCCGACAACGGCATGAGGTTGATTGACTTCGCGGCTGCAAAAAACTTGGTAGGTAGCAGCACCAGATTCAAGCATCTGGATCTCTCCTGATCAAACAACGAGAAATCAAATTGTTCATTTTGTGATAGACGGATGTGTTTTAGACGTCCGATCGATCCGAGGAGCGAATTTCGATTCGGGCCATTACCTTGTGGCAGCCAAGTTACGCACCCATCTTAATGTAGCAGCAAAGGTGCGATCTAACACAACACGGAAACTCGATGTCGAAAAGCTGCAAACACAACAGGTAGCCGAGGCCTACTCCGCTCAACTTACCCATCTGCATGAAGAAAGAACTTATTGTTCCGATAATAGTATAGAAACACAATGGCAAAGAATTGCCCACTCCCTACAAACTGCAGCAAAAGCAACACTTGGTACCAAAAACCACCACCAAGAAACCCATGGTACTGATGTGAAAAACGCAGCGTATAGGGCAACCCTGCAGACAGTAGCAACACGTAACGTGATGGAGAATTATCGGGAAAAAAGGAGAGAGGAGAAACGTGTTTTCAGAAGAAAGAACAAGAAACACGTGAGCGTGAGAAAATCGAGATGTACAGGAGTCAGAATGAAGTCTGGAAATTTTACCAACGAGTAAAACACCAAACAGAAGGCTTTGGCGCAGGCACATCCTCCTGTACAGATGAAGAAGGAACCCTGGTGACAGATACAGACAGCGTGTTGAGGATCTGAAAAGCTTCTGGTATCAAATAGTGGCCTTGAAGAAGATACCCCAGAGCCAATAAGAGATGATGGTATAGAGTGTATACAACCTAGCCAAGATGAGGTCATAAAAGCTCAAGAACAACAAAGCAGCAGGAGCCGATGGGTTACCAGCCGAACTATTCAAGACTGGTGGCCAGATGCTGGTTAGGAGCATGCACCAGCTGATTAGTACAATTTGGCTAGATGAATACATGCCCAATGATTGGAACCTCAGCATGCTGTGTCCCGTGCACAAAAAAGGAGACATATGTGCCAAGTATAGAGGAATAAGTCTCCTTCCCATCGCATATAAAGTACTATCCAGTGTGCTGTGTGAACGATTGAAGCCAATGGTCAGCGACATCATCGGACCATACCAATGCGGCTTCAGACCTGGCAAATCCACCATTGACCAGATTTTCACTCTGCCCCAAATCCTGGAAAAGACCCACGAAAAACACATCGACACATACCACCTATTTGTCGACTATAAAGCCGCATTCGACAGCCCTATCCGTTCAGAGGTGTTTAAAGCATTCCTGCAAAATTAATACGGCTATGCAGGATAACTTTAAGTGGCACAAGATCAGCAGTTAAAGTAGGAAAGGACCTATCCGAGCCCTTCAATACCGAACGAGGATTCAGACAAGGTGACAGTTTGTCCTGTGATCTTTTTAACATCCTGCTGGAAAATATCATACGAGACGCAAAGGTGAACAGAAATGGTACTCTGTACCCCAACAACAAATGTTACTCGCCTACGCCGATGACATCGATATAATGGGTCGAACATTGCGAGCGGTAGGTGGTTTACATAATTTAGAATAGGTGGTAGAATGGCAGGTGTTGGGATTGGTGTTAGTCGGTTTACTTGTGGATAAAGATCGCATATTTATGTTCGTTCAATTGCATGTAAATGTTCCTTCGAAAAGGCGACGTCTACTAGGATACATATGTAGAATATACCCAAAGTGGTGAGGGGTATCACATAGTCGGCCCAATCCGACTTTACAACTTTCCTTATTGGTTTTTAAATTGTTTTCAAGGTCTGTTGAAGGCGTAAATTAAAAAAAAAAATATTTTTCAATCGCATATTTTTAATGTTTATATTTGAATATCTACGGCGTGGATTTTTAAATATATTTTTTTCAAGGTCTACCTTAGGTGTAGATTTAAAAACATATATATTTTAAACGTTATCTAAGGCATATATGTAAGGCGTAAATTATAAAAATATTGTTTAAAATTTATCTAAGTCGTAGATTTTCAAAGAATATTTTTTCTATTGATTTATATTCCCTTCCTTACATGTCCAAGGATTTAAAAAATTATATATTCTGTAAGAATCCCCGCCTTTTATAGCCCTTGAAAAATATTCTGTAATAATCCACTCCTTTGTTAATTCTTAAAGAAATATTTTAAAAATTCTGGAAATGTTATTTTTAAACTTCCGGATATTACCAAACAATTCTCCATGGACAACAAAACTACTTTGTTTCATTTCCTTGGCAACGGGTGTGTACCTTGGTAACCCAAATATTTGTTTATATGTCAAAAGCCCTCAATAATTCAATTCGTTTTAAATTGTAGTCAATTTCAAACCGTCTCACAACAAATACAACAACTTATTTTAGAAGACCTCAATCTAATTCCGAAAATGGTGATTCTACATGTGAAACGTGGTGATGATGATTTGTTCCTTTACGAGACCAGTGTCAATGAGGACACCAATTCCGTAATTCGCGACATAACAGCCATTTATAATGGACGCCTGAAAATCGAAAGAATTTGTATGGAAATGGAGGAGTTGGCTTCCCATGGTACCCTACTGCCACCCGAAATGATGGGTCTAACCGATGAACAAGTGGAGGAGCTGAAACTAAAAGATGTTTGGGCCGAGAAATGTATACCATCCGGAGGTTTCATTTTCAACAAAGATCCCATTGGTCGCAGGAATGGCCAACAGCCCAAAGAGAAAATGCAAGAAGTTCTAAGGAAATCGATGAGTGATGCCCGCAGCATGATTAATAAAAAATTGGTGCAGGCGAAAACCCCACTAACCCTCAAAACCATATCGGAGGCATTAAATCTCCTAAAGGGTGCAGTGACGATTGTCTATCCCATGCAATTACCACCACACGATACAATTCGTATGGAATTTAGCAATACGGAAGATTTAACGGGCACTCAGGCCTCGAAGGAAGTCATTGAACCTTCTAAGGCTCAGCTATGGTTTGCTGGTCGTTTAATATTGAATGATAAGAAGTTGAGCGATTTTATTGGCCGTCATGATAAAACTAAAGTTGTTGTCAAGTTAAATCGTCACGGTGAAGGACCGCCATCACGTGAACCTGTCATAACGGATGAGTTGCGAAAACGTATGATGGCCGATGCCTATCGTCGTCAGGAGGAATTGAAAAAATTGGAATTGGATGAAGATGATCATTATTTGAATTCGAATTGGGCTGATGGTGGGCATTTGAAGCGCCAGGTTCATGGTTTGGAAAATGTCCGATTTCGAGTGGGCTGAACAAGGAGCGATGATGTTTTAGAGAAAAACAATAATATTTTAATAATTTCAATAAATTTGTTAAGATTTTATAAAATCTATAAGCTCGGGCTTTTAACTTCCATAAAACATATTCGAAAAAGAAAAATTGGGGCTAAAAGAAGGTCTAAATGAAGAAAAAATTGTCGAGGTGGATTTTCAAAGAAAATTCTTTAAACGTATATTTTCTAGATTATGGTTTTTTATATTATTCTAGGTCTTTAGGAGGCGTGGATGTTTAAATAATATTTTTTTCTAGGTCTTTGGGCGGCGTGGATTTTTAAAGAATACTTTTTTCTAGGTCTTTAGTAGGCATGGATTTTTAAAGATTTTTTTTTATAGGCATGGTTTTATATAGAGTATTTTTTCGAGGTCTTCAGAAGGCGTTGATATTTAAAGAATATTTTTTCCCTAGGTATTTAACAGGCGTGGATTTTTAAAGAATATTTTTTTTCAAGGTCTTGAGAAGGCGTGGACTTTTAATGAATATTTTTTTCTAGGACTTTCAAAGGTGTGGATTTTTAAAGAATATTTCTTCTAGGTCTTTAAAAGGTGTGGATATTAAAAGAATATCTAGGTTCTCGTTTATGAAATAAAATTGAATTGAAATATTTTTGAATGGCTTTTCAAACTCCGTGATTTTTTTTAAGAATATGTTTTCAAGGTCTGCGAAGCGCGCAGGTTTTAAGGCCTATAGGAGAGTGAGTTTTTAAGGAATGTTTGTTTTGGGTCTGTAATAGGCCTGGATTTATAAAGTATATTTTTTACAAGGCCTACTGGAGGCGTGGATTTTGAATGGATATTTTTATACCCTCCACCACACTGTGGTACAGGGTATTATGTCTCTGTGCATATGTTTGTAACAGGCCAAAGGAATCGAGATAGACCCATGATTCCTTTTGAGAACATGCATAGAATCACTTTCCAAGTCGATTTATGCATGTCCGTCCGTCCGTCTGTCTGTCCATGTTAAATTGTAAACAAAGTACAGGTCGCATTTATGGTCCGAAATGAATGAAATTTGATATAGGTCACTTATTCGGCCCAAGGACGAACCCTATTGAAATTGGGAAAAATCGGTTCAGATTTAGATATAGCTCCCATATATATTTTCGTCCGATTTAATGTAAATGGTGCACCAAAGTCCCTAAAAATCATTCGATTTGCACGAAAATTGGCATAGCGTACCAAATTTAGTCTAGAATGATGTGTGCTAAGTTTCTCGAAAATAGGTTCAGATTTAGATATAGCTCCCATATATAGTTTTGCCCGATTTTAGGTAAATGGTGTACCAAAGTCCCTGAAAACCATTCGATTTACAAGAAATTTGGCATAGCGTAAAAAATTAGGTCTAGAATGATGTGTGTAAAATTTCCTGAAAATCGGTTCAAAATTTGACAGAGGTCCTATTTATATGTTCGACCGATTTAATGTAAATAGTGTCCCAAAGTCCCTGTATATCCTTCGATTTGCACGAAATTTGGCATAACGTACTAAATTGAGTCTATAATGATGTGTGTAAACTTTCCTGCAAATCGGTTCAGATTAAGATTTGGCTCACATATATATGTTCTACCGATTTAATGGTATAACGTACTGTATAAACCCTAGAACGATGTGTGTTAACTTCCGTGAAAATCGGTTCAGATTTAGATATATCTCTCATATATATTTTCGCCCGATTTAATGTAAATGGTGTACCAAAGTCCCTACATTTCTTTCGATTTGGACGAAACTTGGCATATCGTACTGAATTAAGTCTAGAATGATGTGTGTAAAGTTTCGTGAAAATCGTTTCAGATTTACACAAAATTTTGCACAACGTATTTAAGATAGTTTAGCCAAACGTGTGCCAAGTTTTCTTGAAATCCGTTCAGATTAGAATATAGCCCCTATATGGTTTCGTCCGATTTTAAGTAGCACCCAAAATGTGTCTGTTAGGAACAAAACGTGCATAAATTAGTCTAACATAAACTGTGACAAGTATCGTTGAAATCCATTCATATTTGGATATAGCTTTCATATTTATTTTCATCCGATTTCATGTAAATGTTGCATCATACTCTTCATGTTTTTTTCAGAATAGAATGACGTAGATGCGTGTGGAAGTACAGATATAGCCCATATATGTTCCGAACCGACTTCGTGTTCCAAGTATTCAACGGGTGCACGATTGATATTTGCTTTAAATCGATTTACATAATTTTGTCCCATTGTAATAATGAACGGCATGTTTATGGATTGATCTAAGTCGATTCACATATTGATAGAAGTCACATATTTTAGTTCACCCAATTTCATGTTAAAGGCCCTTTTGTTAGGATTTATCTTTTAAATATACCCATAGTGGTGAAGGGTATCATATAGTCGGCCCCGTCCGACTTTACTGCTTTCCTTACTGGTTTAATGTGTGTAAAAGGCGTGGATTTTTCATGGATATATTTTTATGGATTATAATAGTATTACTCTTATAATAGTCCCTCTAAATTTCTTCCTCATTGTGCACTTCCTATAAAATTATGTATTTATTATGTATTCCAAAATAACAGTTAATTTAAAATTTGCAATTAAATTGCTTTTATGAACAGCTAAGAAATTTTATAATTTCACCCCCAAACCATGACCTGCAGATATCCGCATACACACACTCTCATAAAAATATATATATTATTATCTTGTTATGTTATTGTTTTGTCACCAAATGAGTGCGAGCGTTCACATTGTACTTGACAGAGTTCAGTGACAATAATTCGTAGTACCCCCCTTTAAACTACACCTTAGATAAATATAAAAACAAAAAACACTCAACAATAATTGACAAATTATATGTCATAAGGCAGCGAAAAAAAACACAACAAACTAAGATGACAAGTTCAAGTTTAAATTTATGTCTGTTTACCGAGTTAAAGACGGACGAATAAAGTGTATTTTTTACGCAATTACTGGCACGAAATAATAAAGCACACGTCGCTGGATGCGTAATTTTCTTAAATAGTTTGAACGTGCCGGAGCGCAAATTGGGATGGAGAAAATTGGGGGTGTTGAACCCTTAAGCTTGGCGAAAGAAATGAGGAATTCAAAACAAGCCTATTCAACGTATACTTAGACTAAGTCTGAAGATAGATACATTGGTCCAACCCTCTATTGTTCACGTTTTTAAATCTCATATAAAGTGTTTGGGGTATCGCTCATTGTAATATTTTTACCGAGCCTACGTCTAATCTTATGATAGGATCTATCTGCCAGTCTTCGGGTATATGGAGTATATTTTTAACGAATATTTTTTCAAGGTCCTAAAGGAGGCTTGGATTTTTAAAGAATACTTTTTAATAGGAGACGAGTATTTTTAAAATAATATTTTTTGAAGGCACATAGATCACATCCTATGATAGGACCTATCGGCCAGGTTTCGGATAAATGGAGAAAAAAATCAAAGCTATTGAATGTAAATCCAGATGTTGGAATATATTCCATAATATATGTTTGTAAAGTCTAATCCGAATTTTCCAAGAAATTTCCCAATAATTTGGCATTTTATGTCTTTCAGAGGATTTAAAAAATATTAATCCTTATCATATAATTATTTCCCTTCTTCGAAAAATAAAATTTAAAAACTGCACTTTGGACTCTAAGATTCCAGCGATATATTCCATAAAAAAATCTATAAAATATCCCCTCTTAAAGCTCATGATCTGAGATTCCAGCGATATATTTTATAAAAAATTTATAAAATATATAGTAAGGACAGTATAAAAGTCGGACGGGACGGACAAATCTATATATGGGAGCTGTATCTAGATCTGAACTATTTTCCACCAATTTCGATAGGTTTCGCCCTTGGGTCAAATAAATGAGCTGAACCAAATATCATCCAATTCGAGTCATAAGTGCGATATGTACTTTGCTCACAAAAATGAATGGACGGGCGGGCAGGCGGACATGCATACATCGACTCAAAAAGATATTGTCTATGTGTCTATCTCGTTTCCTTGTTACATACATACACACTAAAGAGTAATTCCGTAGACTTTCGCAAACTTAGGATCATGGTAAATATATGTCGGCAAACACCAACTGACACTTGTTTACGTGTTTTTTGTTAATTTTTTTAGCTGGTCCATGTTTGGCATTGTCTCTATGTAAAACTTAGATGCGGTTTTTTGTTTATCCATAATCATAGCCACATTTTGTAATTCGGAATTTCGGGTTCATATAAAAAAATACTAAGGATTATTTTGAATATCCAGGTCTAGGTTATTAAACACTCATATTGGCCATTTAAAGAAAATATTCTTCAAAGTTTCTTAAAAATGTAATTAAAGAAACACGCTTATAGCGGTACTTAAAAAAATATATTTTTAAATCCACGCTTACAGTGATCTTAAAAAATATTCCTTTGCAAATTCACGCTTATAGCGGTCTATAAAAATCTACGATTCCAGTGGTACTTTAAAATGTTTCTTTAAAAACCTACACTACTTAAAAAATATTCTTTAAAAAAGCCACGCTTCTAGTGGATCTTGAAAAATGTTCCTATAAAATCTACGGTTCTTGTGGTCCTTGAAAAAATATTATTATAAAAATTCAAGCCTAATGTTAACCCTATAGCTTACCAAAAAATATATATTTCTTTACGTACTTAAGATATCTATGGAAACTATTCTTTATAAAATCCGCGCTTCCAGTAGTTCTTGAAAGAATATTCCTTTAAAAAATTGACGCTTCTATGTGGGTGTTCTAGAAAAACATTTTCTTTACAAATCTACGATCTTTGAAAAAATATTCTTTAATAAAACCAGTAAGGAAAGTAGTAAAGTCGGACGGGGCCGACTATATGATACCCTTCACCACTTTAGGTATATCCAACAGAAGAATCCTAACAGACGTCGAATTTTTGAAGGACCTATATATATCGAAATCTAAACCGATTTCAACTAAACTTGCCACACGTTAAGTTATGGTAACTTCAGTACGTAGTGCAA